GTGTCGAGATATATGATTTCCATCCAAGCGAAGTAGACTGCCTTCCATTATATATATGCAAAAGAATTATATTAGTAAAATATTAAATAAAGTAAAGTACTTAAATAAATTAAATACATAATATTAAAAATATTATAAAATATACCTTAAACAGAGAGAGTATTTGAGAGAATTTGGTGTGATGAAAGTGATTGAGGATGGGAGTATTTATAGGGAGGATTGGGGTGTGAACGGGTGTGTAATTAAATGTATAACGTATCCCCTGTACCACGCTATACCCCACGTGTCAGATAATCAAGTATAACACGGCCCCTAATCCGCGCTATACCCTTACGTGGCGTATAGCGCGGATCAGGGGCCGCGCTATACCCACGTGTAACTCATGTCAGCGTATAGCGCGGGGCACGGGCGCGCTATACCCCACGTGGCGCCAAATCAGCATATAGCGCGAGGCAGGGGGCGCTTTACTGTTACGTGTGTTAGATCAAAAAATATAATCTGACCGATGTTAGATCGATAAATATACCGATCACCGGTGATTTTTCGAGAAAAACGCCCAATTTCTCGTGCAGCATTTTCATTTAGAAAATAATAACAACCACTATCATAATTTTCCAAACTTCTATTAAATGATAGTTTTATTATTATTAATAGTAATAAATGTCCGTACTATAAAATTTAAATTAAAAATTAAAATAAAATAATCTAAAAAATTGAAATAAAGTTTAGAAACCTGAGTATGAAGAAATTGAAAATGAATCTGAATTATTATAAATGATTTAAAAATTTTGATAGAACCAAACCGATCTATGACATTGCGAGATGTTTATCCCGTTTTCAGGTGCGCAGGGTAGAGGAAAAGGCATGAAAACCTCATCTCTTCAACGGTTTTCAGTTTCACACCCAACCAAAGCTGTCCGTTGAATTTTAGGGGTGCGTAAATCAGGGTACTCGGAATATTTAGTTTTTGATTATCGGGTCCCATAATATTTAAGTCGGTGATTTTTCAGTTTGTGTCTCGAATCGAATGTTACAGGTACTTAGTAATCGAGTACTTGAATTTTGTGGGTACAGGTACTCAATTTTTATTTTTTTATTTTTAAATTATTAATTAAAAAAATATGTATACAAATTTAAATTTCTGAAACTTTAAATTATATACTCCAACATCTGAACATAAAATTTAAAAATTTGAAATAAAAAATCTAAAATTCATAATATAAATAATCTATTATATATATATATATATATATATAATAAAAATAAAAATAAATCGGGTACTTGAGTAACCGAGTACTCGAAAAAATTTAATTTTGTGACTCGAGTCTGACCCGAGAAATATTAGTTCGGGTACCCGACCCGGATGAGTAATTATTTTAAAAAATTATCCAAATTTTATAAGTTCACGTCGGCGAATCATGTAACTGGGTAGGATATTTTTACACATTAATAGCACGACAAACCCACCTGAAAGCAGAACAACTTTAACGTTGGAAAAAACGCCGTTAAACCCCCATTCTCTATCTTCGACGTGACGGAAAGCCACGGGAAAAACAAAGGGAAGGCCGCCTTTATTTCATTAACCCAATGATTAATACAAAAATAAGTAGTTATACATATCTCGAAATATGATTCGATTTTTAAAGGATTTTTCGTTAAAATTATATGTTTATATTTTTTAAAATTATATTTTTAGGTATTTAAATATAACAATTGTTAAATTTAAGTATTAAGTAACACATGTCACTCTCGTATTTTTTGAAATTTTTTTTAAAAAATTAAGAGTATTATTAGTTTGAAAGAAACACCCAAATATTTTCAGAAATTATAAAAGAGGCCCCAAAACCTTAAAATTTTTCATTCCAACCCACGTTATCATCCATCGTCGGCTGCCATCATCGTCGTCGAAAGATCGCTCACCCATCGTCGTCGAAAGATCGCTCACCCATAGTCATCGTCATTTCCATCATCACCGTTACCGATGTTGGTGTTAGGGGCGAGCGTTCGATCGAGTCGTGCAATATCTCAAATTTTGGACTAGTGACTGGAATGTAAAAATTTAAAAGTTGAAGGACTAAAAATGTAAAATTTTAAAAGTTATATTTTGAGTTTGTAAATAAGTAGATCAGCTCAGGATAATCATTTTAGATGTTTTATATTTTTAATATGGAGTTTGTATAAAAATCTATTAAATGATGAAGATTGATATAATACTTGGATAATCGAATCAAATCAAAAGTTTAAAAAAATTTGAAGGAGGGTAGTTTTTGGTTAGAATAATATATGGATATTTTTAATAAGTGGAGTTTAAGTTGGATTGGTGGAATTTGGCAAGAATTGCATTATAAAGTGAAATAGTGCAATTTAGTGACTAAATTGAAATTTTGAAAAATTGAAGGGTCAAAAATAAAAATTGAGAGATAAGTTTTTTTGATTATTTAATAATATTAAAATAGAGATAATGAAGTGGAATGTGAGTAAATTCTAGAATTTATTAAAGGTAAATTAGACTTTTGGATTAAGTTGAATTAAAAAATATATTTTAACTAGCTTTAAAAAGGTCAAAGTAGAAGATTTTTTATATAATTTTCGTGAAAACCTCTCTTTCCTCCAGCAATATGTCGAACCTCCATAGCCAAAGAGTAAGTTTACTTTTTCTTCAATTTTGGTCATTTTAATTAGATTTTGGACTAAAGTGCGAAATATAAAAATAATCCCCATTAATTTCTCTACAATTTGGTGTAATATTTCTTGGTTTCATGCTTGAATGGTGAAAGTTGTGATTTTGGTGGATGAAGAGGAGTTGAGAATTTGATTAAATTAAGTTTGATTTTGATGCTAGGAGTGTTAGGGAGTAAAATATACACATAAAAAGTGATTGGAAACAATTGGGAGGACTTGTTTAACAATTTCGGATACTATAGGGGTTTTGAAGAAATATGGAATTTGAGTTATTATGATTGTTACGATATGGAAATGGATTGGAAATGGTGCAATGATGACTAAATTGTGATTGAATCTAAAATGAAGACCATTATGGGAAATGTTGGAAAGTTACGGCCAAGGGAGAAAATTAAAGGAAAATCCTATGATGTTTATCAATCTTGTTGGGGAAAAAACGAAAAGCTAAACGGAAATTGGTTGAATTATAGTTTTGGTGGATTCATAGTTTGGTCTTTGTGTAAATTGTGGATAAAATGCTTGCTTTTGGTCCGAAAATTGGCCGTGAAAACAGAGAGTTTCGAGGCGCTTTATCTGGCCTTATGAGGGAGATAGAGTGTGTCTGAAGGTAATATTAAAATAAATAAAGTTAATTTAACTTAAGTGAGAGAAATTAGTTTCAAATGTATATATCACTTGCTCTACATTAATTAAAGTACTAATTCATATTTGAAATTGTTTATGTCGAGAAATCAATGTCGTGAAGATTGTGATAGAAAGCAAATACAAAGCGAACCAAAGGAAAATGATTAAGTTGGAGAGTACAGTGAGAATAACAATTAAAGCGTAGTGAGTCAACAAGAGAGTGCAATTAACTTTTTATCAAAAATAATACGATGGCGACTTGCGACGAGTTAACCTCGATAGATCTGAAAGAAAATGTTTTTAAATTATATTTAAAATAAGTATAATCTACTAGTCTTTTATTTCATAGCATTTAAATATTTTTGGGTATGAACGACCCAAAAACTGTTTTTTATGAGAATGATTTCATATTCGATTATCTGAATTTATTTTTATGTAAATTAGTATATGATTTTAAATAAAGCCCATTGTATGAGAACGAAGGTTAGTACAATGTCATGCCATGAGGTGGAGTAAATATGTATCTATTTCAGATCTGGCACCAAGATAGATCACTCGTGCTCTATCTCGACGTACCTTAGTGGTGCACGAGGTGGAGTGGTCTGGTGCGATCCATCTGGCTCTATAGGTGTATTATATATTTATATGGCACCAAGATGGGTCACTTGTGCTCCAACTCGGCGTAGCTTAGTGATGTACGAGGTGGAGTGACTCAATGCAATTTGTTTTGGTAATTTCAACTGCTTATAATGCTCTCACTCGTTATCTGACTTGCGTACCATATATTCTCATAAAAATACAGTGGGTGATTATATGATCTAAAATAGAAAAGTATAAATCTAGAATAACTCAGTACAATAATTTATAAAAAATTTATAATATTGTCTTATTACAAATTTTAATTAGAGACAAACTATATATATGTATTTAATTTGATGATGTTTATATATGAAATGGTTTCATTTATATATTAAATATTTTATTTATGTTATTATGTTGCCTCACTAAGTGGAAAATATAGCGTGTGATTGATTTACACGTAGATAAAGAGAAGTCAGTCGAGTGAGGAGCCAAGCAGGACATCCTACATACAGGGACGGTCCTGATATTTTAAGGGTCCTAGGCAAAATAAGAGATAAAGACCCTTAAAAAATAACTTAAAATAATAGTTATATGATACTCTCCTCAGTGAATTCTGGGTTATTTTAAGATGCTCATTATCTGGTTCCATTGACAACATGCTAGAAATAAGATGACTCTTAATTACATGCATTTCCTCATAATTTTACCAAGAAAACACCAGGCATAACAAAACTCATATATCTTCTCGCTCATATGCATGTAGGTTAAAACCATGAATATGAAAGAGGACAGCACTTACATATTTCAAGTTAAGAATCAAATATTGCATTTATTGCATCCAAAACCATAAATAGAAGCATAACATAAAATGATTCTTGTATATGCTTCAAGATAAAGAATTTGATGTATATATTGCAACTTGTAGTATTTAAGAAAGTAAAACTCACTGCATAGGTTCAACCAGCAATCTCAAGTTTCCCATTCAAGGCACTTTGAGCTACTTTTGCATGTTCAAGTTGAGCAAAATGCAAAAACAAAAGGGAAACAACTACATGCATAATTATGACTATACAGGAAAAGGAACATAAGCCAAGTCTTCATCTATATCTAACCTGAACAAACCCAAAACCTTTGCACTGCCCAATCTCAAGGTCAAGTGGTAGTTGCACAAGCTCCACAGGTCCAAAAGGTTCAAAATTCAAACATCTGAGCCATCAACATAAGATACGAAAAGGGTCTGAGATGAAAATCATGCACCCTAAAATGATTAAACACTAGAACTAGGCAATATCAACATGGAAAATGTGAAAAGAGATAACATACTAACATTTCAAAAACATCTATGTTACTCCTTCCATTTTTTTCTTTTAACAGGGAGTTAAAATCCAGTAAACAATTTGAAAGAGGGTTTACAGAAAATCTAGTCGTATTACCTGTCTAAGTTGCATTTATGTCATGTTAAAGTGAAAATTCCCTACATATAATTTTCTATCAACAGCTCCATAAGGTCCCACGACACTGCCTGCGCTTGCACCAGAAGTAGTGGGCTGAACAAGGTTCTTTTCAGCCTCTAAAGGTTTAACCATCACAGGTTGACCGAGAAGTAGTTGAGCAGACAATGCTATTGCAATTGCCACAGACATCACATCGTAAAACTCAATATACCTGAAATTTTATCAGCGCCTGTAGTTAGTTTCTCTGAATATAAAAGAAAATTTGCGACCAAAATCTACAAAGAGAAGCGAGGAAAGGAAAAGGGTAGTGCAGAGAGATGTGCTGAGTATCTTTGGTTGAATCTGATGTCTCGTGCAAGAAAAGGTTAGCTCAGCATAACAATATTGGAAAAGCAAAATAGACTTCATACAACGAGAGACAATCTAACAATGATAATAAAAAAAACAAAAGAAATTGAAAATGACGTTAAAATATTGGCATGTCTCAATTTCAAACAAAGGTAAAAGATGGGGAATATATCATCTTTAGCTTAGGATTATACTCATCGAACAAAGATATGAGAATGAACCCAAAAACTACCAAAATCATAGGTGAAAAATACAGAACAAAACTTAGTTTGGTTGCATAATTAGAACAAATTTTCCGCCACCTAAAAACAGAGAAAAGTAAGATGAGACCTAGGGACAGCTTGAAAATTTCTTCATGAATCTTCTTCCATTCCTCAAACAAGAAAAATGAAACAAGAAAAACGAAATGCGAAATGCGAGAATCTGAAAAGAGGGTGTAGGCAATCGAAATGCGAGAAGCAAGCACACAAATTCAAAGCACGACTCACATGCTTTCCCAGTAATCTCTTCACCAATGCTCAGTAAGTCCACCGAGTTCTGGGCCCCTCCAAACCTAGACCATAGACCCTAGGCGGTCGCACTTCACGCCTGGGCTCATGGCCGGGCCTGCCTATAAATTTTGAAGGATTAGTTCAGAAAATCAGAATCAATATAACATCTTTCCGATGTTTTTGATATTCCTTAGTTAGCATGTACATATTTATATTTTGGGGCTCTAATTCGAATATGTCTGAACTCTTTTTGATAATGCGATGAATGAATAATATTTTAAATATTTTATATTATAATTTTTAAATGCATACTTATTTTAAATGTCGGTTTTAAATGAAATATAATTTAATGATTTTTAAACAATATATGTTTTATACGTTTAATGTGACACTTCTACCTCGTATAAGGAACTGTATATGGAATAGAGGTGTTACAAGTCGAGTAAAAAATTTTGAGTCATTCGAGTTGATGAGTCCTATTTTACAACTCGGAGTTGACTTGAAATTTTTTCAAGTCGAGTTTATAAAATTCGAGTCGAGTCGAGTTAAATTTTTGAGTTTGTGTTTAAATTTAATTATCAATATTTATAATATTATTATATTATTTGATTTCAATTTAAATTGTTTTTTATGATTATATACAATACACACATATATATATATATAACAATTTATTTCTGTGTGATTTTTGATAAAAAAAAATACAATACATATATATTTATTTCATATGTGATATACATATATCATATAGAATTGAGCGACTCGACTCAAACTTAAAAATTCATCCACTAATTACTAAAAATTTCGAGTTATTCGAGTTGTATTTTACAACTCGATTTGAACTTAAAATTTTTTCGAGTTGAATTTATGAAATTACAACTTAAAGTCATTTCGAGTCAAAATTTTCTGAATATAGTCGATTCGAATTTTGCCCACCCCTGTTGGTGTCATCGCTAAAGGCCAAAAGGAATAAAAACACCGGACACCATTCCATCTTCTAGGAACTCCTCATCCGACGAAATCCAAGCCAAAATAATTCCACCGGCCAATAGGTTTGTTGATTTCAAGTTATCCACATAGGATTGAGTCCTACTTGAAAACTTATAATCACAAGTCTCAAGAAACCGTCACTGGAGCAACCTCAAAAATGGATTCAAAATTAGGTGTGGACTCTTGATGCAGAAACTACTGCGATGATTCAAAAACAATTTAGTATTATCCAATTTGGTTTTATGTCAGACAGGTCTACTACGGAGGCGATTCATCTACTTCGACGGCTTATAGAGAAATATAGGGAAAAAATAGAGATCTTCACATGACGTTCATTGACCTTGAGAAGGTGTATGATAGTGTTCCCCGCGATACGATCTAGAAGACCTTGGAAACGAGACGGATCTCATCTGCTTATATACAGGTGATTTGTGATATGTATTGTAGATATACTACATACGTCAGGACTACAGTTGGCAACACCGAGACATTCCCGGTGAAAATCGGACTCCACCAGGGGTCGGCTCTTAGTCCTTACATCTTCGCCTTGATTATGGACGACATCTATTGTGCGACACCAGACGGTGTTCCATGGTGTATGCTTTTAGCTGACGACATTGTCCTAATTGCTCAAACAAAAAACTGAGTTGAATAGTAGACTGACTACCTGGAAGACTGCTTTGGAAGAAAAATGTCTAAGGATCAATATTGAAAAGACAGAGTATTTATGTTCAAACTTCAGTGGGAACCAAAACGATGAAGATGTAGAAGTAAGCATAGAAGGACACGTTCTCCCCTCAAAGGATTGTTTCAAGTACCTAGGGTCTATGATACATAAAGATGGGGTGTAGATGATGACGTTACACACTGTATAAAGGCGGGATGGCTAAAGTGGAAGGCTGCTACTGGAGTTTTGTGTGACAAGAAGGTGCCTCTAAAACTTAAGGGAAAATTTCATAGAATGACAATAAGACATGCGCTGTTGTATGGATCAGAATGTTGGGCAATCAAGAAGGATCACGTAAGGAGGATGAAGGCCGCAGAAATGAGAATGCTTCGATGGGCATGTGGTAGGACCATGTGGGACATGACACCAAACTCTGCTATTAGGATGTCCATTGGGGTGGTGCTTGTATCCGAAAAATTGAGGGAGGGAAGACTACGATGGTTTGGGCATGTCTTTCGGCGACAACCGTCGGATGCGGTCAAGAGGGTAGAGTCGATTACAGTCGACGGTGCCAGAAGGAGAGGAAGACCAATGTAGAAGTGGGAAGACTGCTTGAGATCTGATTTGAAGGATTTAGCCCTTACCGAGGACATGACCTCTGATAGGAAAGTATGAAGACTTAAGACCATAGTAACCGAGTAGTGCGGTTCACATCCATAGAGTGTATCATCTCTGTTTTCTTTTAATTCCTTTGTAATAATTTCCATGACTTCTACTTTTTATACGTTTCTGTCATTGTAATTTATGAAGGCTTAGAACTAGGGTAGCGGAGTAGTGTTGCCTTAGTTTAGGTTTTAACTCATTTGACTTTATTCCTTCTCATAGCTTGCTATCGTTGACTACTGTGTATTATTCTCTTCATGTTTCATCTTTTTAAATTTAGTCGGGTCTTGTGTTTCTGTCTATATACAGAGATTTATTTGTAGGGATTTCTTCCCATTACAGACGCGCATATGAAGACTGCATGTGAAGACTGTTCAACTATGTATTTATTTATACATGCATTGCATTTTATCTTTATTTTTAATTTTCTGACTGTCGGAGGTCTTCCACGGAAACTGCTCTCAACCTGGCGTTGATGACAGCCTACTATCATACCTCCCTTTACCCCATTGCATATGAGAATAAAGTTTTGTTGTTGTTGTTGTTGAATGGGATCAATTGATTTTGCAAGATTGCAAAATGAGGATGGAGGGGGTGAACAAGACGTGAGAGGGGAGGGAATTTTCTTTCCATAATATTTTTTTGTAATTTTAGGAGTTTTAGGGTTATTTTGTAATTTTTTTTAAAAAATTAGGGTATTTATATATATATAAATTTAATTTTTTAAGAAAAATAATATTTTTATTATTAAAAAAAGTTGAACACTATAATGGTAAGGCACCTTAAAAATTAATTGAAAAAACATTAGATATTTTTTTAAAGAAAAATTCTTTAAATACAAAATAATATTTTGAAGTATAATTTAGATATTTATTTTGTATTAACCCTTAATCCAAAGATTTTTTTTTTAATTTAATTTAAATTAATTATTATATTAATCTCAATCTGCCTGCCCTCTCCGCTAGCTGGTCCCCTATCCCTACCTCTATAAGCCCACTAGAAGTATCTGGTACCATAAGACGGAGCAAGACCAGTTAATGTTGATTGTCGATTTTTAAGTTGGGTTACAATTTGACCCTGGTTTAAATTGTTGTCCTTTCTCTTCCACAGTTTTGACTCACCCTTGGTTAAGTTTCTCGACCCCTCATTCGACACAGAAAGACGAGAGAAATACAGAGATAGGAAGGAAAAAAAAAGATTTTTTTCCTTTAGGGCATCTCTAGTCTTAATCTATACTTTAACGCATCTTTATCTCTATTCTAGAGATGAAACAGTAATTCATCTTCAGAACTATCTCTACATTACCACTAACTCTACTTTATTCATAATATTTAACTATTATAATATTAATTTTACAAATATAAAATTATAAAAAAATTATAAAAAAAATCCAAAAAAATTATAAAAAAATCCACATCGTTACTGTACCGTTGAAGATGGCGCAGGGCTGGAGCTGATTTTATCGAGATATTGCTGAAATGTGGCGCAGCATTGGAGATGGCCTTATATTTTGGGTTTTGGGTGTTTACAAGCTTTGATTTTTCATCTGCTGCTGCTGTTGAAGGTGGAAGAGAAGAAGATAGAGAGGCTGAGGTGTTTTGTTTTGCAGAAATGGAAGAGTTAGAGCGACTGTAGATAAAAAAGTGGATTTTGATTGATTGGTGCTTAAATCGAGAAGATTGCTTGATGAACTGAGAAAAATATATGCTTGTGGTGATTGAATTTTGTCAGGTTCTGATAAAAGTTTCAGAGAAAAAGTGTTGATTTCGTGTGGTGAAAGGGTAAAGCTATAGTATTTTAACAACGTTGTTGCTGGTAGATTGTGTGGAAATTTGGATTAGGGGTTTTAGTTATCTATTTGAGGAGCTTTAGAGTGTATCAAATGAGAGATCTGAGGTAAAAGGTTCTAGAAAAAACATGTCTACGTTGGAGGAATCAATAAAAGGAAATTGTGTAAACGGAAGAGAGAATTTTTATTCTGGTTATACCGAGCAAAATGATGCTAGGAACGCCATGGAAGGGCAGAATGT